CACATGATTCATGATGAACCTGTTCCTTTGGATATTCGACAAAGTGTTTCAGGACCACCGTTGCCTCCAGAACCCGAAGGTAAATCTGAATTCAAGTTAAACCCCGGGGAACGGTATGGTTGGTGCGCCGGGAATGATCGTGAAGAAGAAAGACGTCAGTGTGCTACGGTTCATGGAGCAGTGAACAATTTCAGGACGCAGATATTACTTGACACCGGAGCGACTGTGAGTGTGATCAGTTTGGACCTTGCGCGTAGGCTCAAGATCAAGTTAAATTCACAGAAGCGGATCAAGGTGTCAGGACTAAGTGGCGTCCCGAGTTATATCACTTCGAGTGCACAAACCAAGATCACTTTGGGATGGTGAGTTGTGTATGTCATGGACGTCTGGGTAACGAACATCGGAGAAGGGGTGGGTGTACTCTTAGGAATGGATTTCATGTTCAGTGCTGGAGTACGTCTAGGCATTCGTGAAGGAATGGTAGGTCTCCCGGATGAAGAAACCATTTTGATGTACGGGTATACCATACCACGACGTGGATACCGTGATATCCCAGTCTGTCCCCTTCGAGGATCGCATCTGCGACCCGGAGAACATGCAAATATGGTCATCCGATATGGACAGTGTCGCCCGCTCCAAGATGTTGTGTGGGCAGGACGAGGGGATCAGTGGGTCACCCAAATTGTTTACGGCGCACGCTCGTGAGCTGTAGCAATAAAAGTGGTCAACGTTTCGGGCCGAGATTGTTGGTTCGAGCCTATGACACCTGATGCTCGGATTTCGGAGTATGGGAATATCCCCATAGTTGGACAGTTTGCGCGCCCTGGGTTACGAAGGTATATGGAATGGCAACAGATTATCCAGAATAACACATTGTCCGCGAAGGCCAGGGTGCGTCAGGAAGCGTATGAACAGATGCTTCGGGATGCGGCTCCGCCTGCAGTTCTGGTTCCCAAATACAAATGGCCAACGAAGTTACTGGTAAGGCCAAAAGAACCCGAGCAAGCCCAGGCTACGAAGATTGTGGAAGAGTTACAACCGCAAAGAGACATCGATGGCGTGGAATCAGCTGAGGATGCTACACTTGGGCATACTCCCCGAGTGTGATTGGCTCACTCATGGCTGTTGAAGTTTCGCCTGAACTTGTCACCCAGGATGTCAACACCCAGGATGGCGGAGAGGTTGCCGATTCGGGATCCTGTGGAGAAGGCCTAGGTGAGATGGCTCAGGGATCTGAATGCGACGTATTCCAGGATGACCCGAGTATGGAAGACGAGGATTTCGAGTTACATTTTTCTGCCATGCCTGGAACACCACTAGCAAGACTTGAAGCAGCATATGCCAGGTGTATGTGAGTGAGCGCTGAAGAACTCGATTTGGAACCCGCGGGAAGGGAGTGAGCTTATGTCTCAGTTGAATGATCAGTTGGTCATGCTACCTGATTTGGAGGATCTCTCTCCTGAATGTGATATCGAGGCTGCTGACGTTGGAGAACCTGGCGAGAGCACGGAGGTTCAAGAGAAGCAGCTGAAGGCCGTCCTGAAAAGACGCCAGAAGATCTTCTTTAGTGATGGAAATGCTGCCCCGCCTCCGGCGATGGGCGTCATCTGCGATTTAGACGTGGGGAGCGCCAAGCCAGTAGCACAACGACCCCGATCGGTCGGTCCGCATTTGGCAATCAAGGTATACAAGTTACTGAAGAAGCTTCTGGAAGCTACACTGGTTGAAGACTCTGAATCGCCATGGGCATCCCCAATTGGGATCGTACTCAAGAAGAATGGAGTGGATATTCGAATGTGCATCGACTATCGAGTCGTGAACAGCTTCATTCAGTTGTCGAATTACCCACTGCCACTGATCGACGATCTCATCACTGGTTTCGAAGGAATAATGTGGTTCACAAGTCTTGATATGGCGAGTGGTTTCTGGGCAGTCCGAATGACCGAGAAGGTCAAGCTGATCTCAGCATTTACCTGTCCATCCGGGCACTTCCAATGGGTACGTGTGGCATAGTGCCCCGGGGAGTTTCCCCGGAACCAACTTTGGTTCCCCGATCGCCGGTTCCCAAGAACC